CTATTATTTATATAATAATAATTCTAGATGCCTAATCTATGTAAACATTTTATCTTGTTTACTTTATTCTATTTATTATTTTAAATAAAAATTCTAATTAAAACTTCTACCGCTTGATATTGAATCAGTTATACTAGATGCTATACTTGTTCTTCGTTCAATATTTATGTCATATTTTCGATTACTTTGTTTACATAATATGTATAAACAGCCAGTAAGTATACAGCAAAATATAAAACTTCCACTTCCGACTAAACTAAAAAAAGTTACGAGCTTGTATCGAACATGTTTTGTAGATGCTGTTGATAAGCGAATAGTACTGAATGTTAGATTAGTTATTTCTGTAAAGATGCTGGATGTAATAGGAGAAGTAGTTGTTGGAATTTCACATGTAAGTGACTCTACTGGTGAGATGCGTGCAGATCCAGGTACATAATAATATTGATACAATCCTTTGAAACCACAATAAATCGTTATTTGTAATCCATATAATGTCATCTTTTGTATGTCATGATTGATTTTGAGTGTTAATTGATTATGATGATTGTTTAATTCGAATTGTAATCCATGATAACTTCGATTTTTTACATCATCAAATGATCGAAATGTATCAAAAGATAATTCATAAAGTATATCATATTTAATATGAATATTAAGAGAATTTTGTTTTTCTGAACGAGTATATTGGTGTTTATCAAACAATTTATTGATTAAATTAATATTTTCTAAAGAAAATTTTTCATATGATTGAGTATCATTAAAATATAAATCTATACAATGAAGATCTAATATTGGTGAACATTTCAGTTTTAGTGTAATATTTTCTAATGATATCTTTGGTGCATTAATGTAACATCTTAAACATTGTGAATAACCTTGATAATTAAATTGATGCAATTCACATTGATTAATATTACTATTTTTATCATGATGATTTAATATTAGACAATGTCCATGAATATTTGAAAATAAAATAATCATAAAGAAAATTGTATATATCATAGGAAAAAAAATTTAAAAAACGCGGACTTAGATAATTTCTAATAAAGCGCTTGGATATGAAGGAGTAAAAGACGTTCTATAGAATTATATTTGATGTTTTTGAACTAATACTTAAGAAAGCTTAAGAGTATGTTTCAGAGATCAACAGTGGAGTGACATTGCAGAATTCCCTAAGTTTTTTTAATGTTTAGTATTTTCAGAAAATTCTCAGTTCCCACTCTAGATTTCGAATATTTTCGATCTCTCTTACTTCATCTGTGGTAATGCTTAGTTCAGTTTCCGAGGAAATCCTAAAAAAAAATATAACCAGGTTAGTTTGACGAATGAGAGTGTCAAAGTTGGGTATCTGTGCTCGAAAGCATGAGTTTCAGTAACACAAGAACTCTCACCCTCATCCTCATATCAATTGTATCCTATCCTTTTTGCATTTGTATGATTGTGATTTGATCAACATTTTCTTTTAATTTTCTTTTAGAAGTCAAAAAGAAATTCAAACAATCATTTTATAGTCGTAACTCATACATGATTTCATTAGATAACGATATGTCGAAATTTGAATTTTCCATACCCTTATTACTGGATTTTGGTTGTGGACAATTGATTTTCATCGAAAGCAAATATGATATCCAAAATAAGCATAAACACCTACACCAGAAGAAATACTTTTCATTCTGAAGTATTTCTTATGAAAATTCCGCTATATTTCTCTTCAGTCATTTGTGGAAACCAACTTTCTACAATCAACATTAGGTAATAAACGCCTTTTTGGTATTTCTTGTGGAAATGATCTTTCTCTAGATATCACAGCGATTGGTTGTTGGTGCACAAAAATGCGACTGACGAACATTTATTGCAACAAAGCTCAGACTTTTTTTAATGATAATTTCAAAAGTTCTTATAAGATAGGCCCAAACTTTTGAATTTTTCTAAGTAGATAGACAATACATTAAAAGTTATTTTTACTGAAGAAAATAAGCTGAAAACCGGTTGAAAAATTCCATTAATATTTTTACTCATGAAACAGTTTATTTTCATATAAACATCACTGTATGTCTTTTAGGACCATTTTTATTTTTACATCGATATAAATATTTACACCAACCAGCCCGACATCCATCACATCGACTTGAATCATGTGGTATTTGTCGTCTATGGTCACCTTTTGGTTGATCATATATTTCTTCGAATTCATCATCAATAAATTTAACATTATAAAATGTTTTTAA